GATTGTGATGTTTAATTTAAAGATATTACTATGGCAGTTAATGCAGCCAGGGCCAGATTACGACTTTAAAGTCCCTAAGCAATATATTTTGGTGCCCTTACATATATTTAAAGCAGTTACCCCCATTCATTCACAGTCTTATTTAACTGCATCATATACTCCATGGTAAAACTGGCAATGGAAAAATTTTGTGGTGCTCTCTTTTTGGGGGAGGGGACTCTAGAACTTTTTGTGATGCTCCCTTTCCTTGATGCCTTAAGCACGTGCATACATTGCTTAAAGGTTAATACAGCTCTGAACAGAGCGTATTTTTTGTTTAATTACAAAGGCGAAGCCAGTAAACATTGACCAACACAAAAATACTGTATGTTAGTTAAATTATATACAAAAGACTAATTTCTTTCTTAGCATGTTAGTTTTATAAGACGATTTATTTTTAATATGAAATGTTATGTGAGATCAGAACCAGGACAAGGGTGTTGTGAGCTCCATGATTTATACTTGTTAATGATATTATCCCAATTACCGTATTTGACGGCATACAAGATGCACTTTTTTTCCTAAATTTGGTCTAAAAAAAGTTACCTGCGTCTTATACGTGAAGGACACAGTCTTATACGTGAAGGTAATTGCATTCAATAATTGTTTATTTGGCTTTTACGAAACGTAAGAACTAAAAGAAACTATGCTATTAAACTTTTTCCCTTGTGTATGGCCATCTAAATAAGGGTGCGTCTTATATGCCGTCAAATATGGTATATGCAGAATTTGTAGTGTTTCCTTCTGCTTCAAATGCAGCAGTCACATCGTCGAAATGTTCTTCAATCCAAGGAAGTAAAGCTCCTTTAATAAAGTTCTCAATAATACCTCGAAATTCTGACATAATTACCAAAATATGATCAGCAGTAAAGAGCTAAAACATCACTTTCTGATGCAAAAGCAATGAACAACTTTGACGAACAAAAGCTAAAAATTCTTCATGTTCCTATCAATGTGAAAGTCCCGTCTGCCAGTGAAACTTTCACGTCAGTTTTGATTAGTGCAATAGGGAGATAAAAATATTGATTATGATAACAGTCACAAAAAAGTATGGAACAACTGGAATCAATGTTAATTGTCGTACCGACATCAACAAGTGCTATAAAAACATATAACGATCAATTATATGGATAGTTCCTTAGAATACGAGGTGTTTAAATGTAACCGCAGGTTATTTACTTCCCGATAAAACTTTCTTGCAAGTTCCGCCCTAATTGTGAATTACGAATTTGAATTTAGAATTTGGATTTATGAATTTGAATTGCCCTAATTACGAATTTGAATTTAGATTTTGAAGAGTGCAGTGATGAAAGAATTAATGATTTTTTAGATCTAAACGCCTTCTGTCAATCAAGAAAAGAGATAATTCACAAACTTCGGAATATTTCCAAAATAATTTAAAGGCGAGAACGACTGAATGAAATAATATTTAGGTAGATTCAATGCAACATTAGTGGTGACAATTGGGATGTGATCTCACTGGATTTTGAAGGTAAATACTGTTAAACTTTTAACCATGAAATTATTAGTAAAGAAACGCTCGCCTATTAGAGCCAATTTTACTAAAACTTTTAATGCCCTGAGTGATTTATTAAATCAGGAAAAACCTAATGAGGTAGAAATTCAATCAAAATCTGTTTAAAAAGGAACACAACAGCTTTTGAATATCCTTAACAAATATAAATCATGGAGCTCACAACAAAGGGTGAGGTGAGTGAGGTAATTGCCTCAGGTGAATCACTAGAAGGTGCCAAATACTAGGTGCCAAATTGGCTATATGAATTCGAATTATATATATATATAGCGGTGCACATTTACTTTTTTGCCTCAGGTGAAAAAATATCCTGGCACAGCTCTGTGTGAGATTACAGAATTACAGTAAAAGATTGGAGAGGGAACACATCCACTTCTTTTTTTTAAATCTTGAATACAGTAGATTTTGCTAGTTTTTTTTTGCTAAGCTTTTTTTTAAATAAGACAAATCTATTTTGTATATTTTTTTAATATATTTACAAGTTATGACATTATGATTAGCTGTTTTGCATATAACTATCAATGATCATCTGTAAACTTTACCATACGTTTTTCTTTTCATATTGCATATTTCAATTGTCAGTCTCATTTTCATCTATGCATGCAAGCAGAACTACCTGACACGCCCCCCTCCAAAAAAAAAGGGGGAGAAACATGTCAATGCAAAATGTAAAATTAGGCAAAAAAAAAAAAAAAAAAAAAAAAAAGGGGACAACTTTATTTAAAATCTATGCTAGTCTAAGGTTGCTTTCTTACTTAATTTTACAAATCACAAGTATGAAGTCATACAAACACCATACACCATAGCACCTTGTTAAGTAACAAAAATATACTTAAAATTTTATAATCCTTACATATATTAACCCTTTTATGAATGAGCTCAGCTCGCATTATGAATTTACGATTGACAAATATCATGCATATTTGGTAAGAAAGAATTGCTTAATCTTGAAGCTGCTGAAGTGTTAAGCAGAAATTTCAAATAAATTTGTATAAAACGTTTTGTAAAAAAGTCATTCACACTTCTCAAATGAAAAATTTCATTATTTTAAAATGAGGAAATTAAAAAAAAAATTTATCACAGTAATTTTTTTAAGAATCTTGACCTATTTAAGATAATGAAATTTCTTAACTAATAAAATGATCAAGTAGAATACTATTTAGGTGATTTAAAATAGTTTGATCTTGGCTAACTTGTTAGTAACATAGATGAAACTGTTATAAACAAAGCAGTATGGAAACAGGTAAAATCACATTGCATTTGGTAAGAACTGTCATTTTTAAGTCACAAAACAATATACAATAAAGATGACCTGCCCATGCTAATACCGTAAAAATGTTTTAAAAATTACTCTGATTATTAGAAAAGCACTACACTCAATAGCAGATGCTACAAGAAGGAGAAGGAAGCACCAATTCCCTCACCAGTTTAGGGAATCACTAACTTCCTCACCAATTTAAAATATCAGCTGAATCATAAGAAAAGATGATGTTACTTGCTTGCAAAACTATTATTGTTATTTGGCAATACAATGTAAGGTATATTTTAATTTTATAAGAGCTATTTTAATATTAAAGCTCTTTCTTATCAACTCTTGTTCCCAGTTACAACTCCCTATCAGAATGAGTTTTTAGAATCGCATTGAATGCAAATGAGTTAGAAGAAGTATTTAAGGAAAGTTCAACTTACTTCACTAGAGAGTGCGAGGAATCCTTAGTAGCACATGTTTACCTTCGGGCTAAGTCACTCATGAAGCTGTTATGCTCGGCTGTATTATTATGTGCCTTTTGCGGCTAGTTTAAATTAAGGGCCAACTATGTTAGATAATTGTGTTTAGCTTCGGCTAAGTATCGTTTAGTTAATTATTTCTTATTTTAAGTTAAAGCCTGAGTAAAAGCCTCCTGTAAGCCTGAGAAGGGGCTGACTGTTATTCTTATTGAGTGAATAAAAGGGTATTTTAACCTTTCCTGAGTCTATGTTTTAGTTGTTTGAACTCAGTGATAAGTTGCTACACAGATCACTAGGTTCTTTGAAATTCATCTTAGAGAAAAAGAGTGAGGAACCCTACAATAGAAATAGGTCACATATACAGATTAGAAGCAAGCTTATGTTTCCACAAACAACTTAGCCCACCAGCGGCCGAGCGGTAAAGTCGCTGAACACTGGTAGTTCGGTCCGAGGGTTCGAATCCCGCGAACGGGCTGGCTGCATGGGCGTTTTCGTGGTTTTCCCCATGTGTAACGTGTATACGAGCCAGTTTCCCTTAGAAAGTCCTCCACGAAAGGCATCCCTCCCCCTTAGGCAGATAGCCCTAGTGTGCTTTGCCATAATTGAATACACCACACCACCACCACACCACAAACAACTTAAGTTCAGTATAATATTTAAATGTAACTGTTTCTTAAGAAGCGACCAGTTCAAAATGCATAAAATAATAGCACATCTTTCTCTCTTTTTATCTTTCTCATTTTTTCCTCTTGCATCACCAGACATACTTTTATCTCTCATTCATTTCTTTACATTTCCTTTTGAGACATTTTTCTCCAGGAATTCGTTAAAGATACTTTATATGGGTTATTCCCAACTTATCATACTTTCAGAACTTAGAAATTCTTGTAGTAATGCATTCTATAAGAAATATGAAGTTTAGAAAGCATATGGCCTGAAAATGATATTTTGCTCCTTAAGCTTCTTTGAGAATGGTTGAACCCACTGGTCATTTAGCCATCTTACCATCTTACTACTGAGAACATCAACTAGGGTGCACCATAGGATAAATGATTCCATACTCACATAGAGAAGGAAAGGAAAATAATACAACTATACCAAGCTTTACATAACAGTGAAACCCACATCCTTCGTTGCGGACTAGCAACCAGCCTCTGTTAACAATACCATCTAGGCAGCACATCACATTTAACAAAACTGCACACTCATCCAGTGAGCTAAGATTCAAAACACTCCTAATAAGTTACTTCAGAACTCAATTAATATCTGAACTCTGAGCTGAACTTCTAAAGGCACCATTTTATACTTTTCCATGGAAAGGGACAAGAAGAGAAAATAAATCTGAAACTTTATAATTAATTCCTCAGAATGTAGACAGTCATTTCAAATTAAAGTTCCTTGAACTGCCTAGGAATTACCAACTTGGAACTGAAGTACAACAGATTTCAAAAAGGAACAAATTTATAAAGAATCTATTTACAAAATTCAAGAGGTTTTACATACATAATACAATAATTACACATAGATTTAAAATAATACAAAAAATATACATAAGTTTAAAATAACACAAGATTCAGATATGAAATAAATATTGAATAATGATAATAAAGTAAATAAATATACACACAAAATACAAACAAATATTTACATAAATTTACATTATGCACAAAAAATACTTATAAATTAATATGCTACTTACAAAACAATAATGAGTGAAAAACTGAAGGAATGCCCGGATACCACAAATTTACAATTATCCATTGTAAAAATATTGGTCCACTTCTTGCAATTAACACATAATGCAGAAAGAGAGATAAATTCCTGAATAAAGAAATCTTTTAAAACAATATAAAAAAAACCTACATAATTTACATCATTCAAATACAAGGTGGTCCCAAAGTCTTTGACATCGGAAATAAATTTTAAAAACATTTGGAACATGATATTTAAATAAACTGTTGCAAAGTCCTTTTTGCCCATTCTTTCCTGGACATTTACTTTTTAATCAAATTCATTGCCACAAAAGAAGTTTTACTTGCATATATTAAACATTTTTATCTTTTCAGAGTTTCTAATTCCATCCAAATTTCATTTAGCAATGAAAAGGGGCATCAGGCATCCCCTCATTGGTTTTAAATTTGTGTGAAAACTAACTAAATGAGGAATTTCCTGACAAATGGATTTGTTGTACTGGTCCAGTCTTGCAGTTACCTCATTCTCTAAAATGAAATAATTTCAAGGCTGGAATTCCTTTTATTTCTTGTCAGAAATATGTGAAAGAACCAAATGCATGTTATATTGCTCATGACAAACAATGCAGAGCATTACACATGAATAAACTATGCATATGAGAATATTTCATAACTTCTGAGGGTGTATTTAAACTGAATTTAATACTAAGTAAATTGAAATATGCTTTAAGCTGCAAAATTTTTACTTAATAGTTTGGCAATAACATAATTTAAAACTTAGTTACTGTAATTGCAAACTTTGTTCTTATTGCCCATATATTTTTCCATAATGAAATTTTGAGATATGCCAAGGACTGTGCATCACCTTATGTACACCAGGTAACCAAAAATATTTTATTGTTTTCCAGTACTGTTCATTGCAAAAGCTAATATGACCTTGCAATGTACACATGTAAGTGACACATATACAAGTAATCAATATTTATCAAGACTTAGTACATGGAAAGTTTTAGAGTTCTATTATACAGGAGAGAGCATTTAGTTATGTTTGTTAACAATACAGTTAAAGAATGTTTATTGTAGAAGTACAGAACTGACACAAAATGCTTCTGAAGCATGCCACAAAATAAGCACTGCATTAAAAAAAAAAATGCTTATAAATCAAACTAGTCAAAAGCAGATCCAAAAATGTTGTTCCAAGTGACAAATTGTTAAGTAGTGTACCATGATCTGGGAGATGATCGGTCATTAATGAAAGGATATCGATGACTATTCCTCACTTACATGCCTAAAAATTTAGGAAGGCTCAACATAACTGTTGAAACATCCATTTACATCTATCTAACTAGAGAAGATGAGGAAATTAAGCAAATGAGTACTGTATTAGTTGACAAAAACCAAGAAACTTACAAAAAGCTCTGAATCTATTCATCACTTAACTCTTATCATAAAAAAAGGACCATTTCCAGATTTCTTGCTGATGTGCAATAAGAACTGGGACTAGTATACCATCAACAAATGATTACATCATTGGTTGTTGTCCATGGACCCAATTCTTTTGAGCTGCAAAGTTTCCATTCCATACTGAGAAGTTTAGGATAAGGACAATGACTAATATCATGCACTATGAATTTCCTCAAGGATATATCATTACGGATGAGATCTTCACACACTAACTCAAAAGTATAGAATTTTCATTGCATCAGAAAGAGCAAATATTAGCGAACAAGAAAAAAAAAATGCACTTTTTGCAACACAGTACTAAACTACACATAGTGAAAACGATTCATGATGCAATAATTACTTTGGAAAGGAAACTGTTGCTGCATCCATCTTATTCTTCAGATATTTCCCCAACTGATCCTTTTCTGAAAATAATATAAACATACACAGTTCCACGATGATGCATAGATAAAATTGAAAATAGCTAGGTTCCTTTGCTTCTGAACATATTTTATTGGACACTTGTCAGCCTCTATCTTATTAGGAAAAGGTTAGCCAATGTAAAACTGTTATTTTGATGAATAAATACTTTTTTGTCATATAGTCATTTAGCCTTGAAAGTTTCAAACCTCTCCCCCCCCCAAAAAAAAAAGAACAGAATACTTTTGTTTACCTGATGTTAAATGTTAATTTTTGTAATACAGTGCCTATTTTAATCTATCTTTTTCAAATATTTAACATATGTAATAAATTATAAACTCCTTAACAAAAACTTTAAAAAAAATTGTTTATTTACTTTTACTGATGTAGAAAATCTGCAAAAAGTACAATATTCAAGACAATTTACCAATAAATAAATAATTAAAAAAAAAAGTTTCAGATTTTAAATTGTGTGCAAATGGGCGATTTTTAACATTTTGTGTGTTACCCTTATTTATTAAATATCAAGTTCTTTGCACTTAAACCATAAAATTCAGTTCAACGGCAATAGCAAAATAATTTTAAATTAAGCATATCTTTAGAATTTCAGATATGCTGTCTCCCGCGCTGGAGATAAAAATGTTTTTTTCTGTACAACGTTGCCTGCTCACTTTGAAATCCTTGAGTTTGTTAATCAAAAATTTGTTAAAGTTTTACAAAATATGAAATTGATAATAAAACAAATTCCAAATTTGGGCTTTCAGATGCCCATATTCGGAGTAGGATTATGCCATTCAAAATTGGATGGATCTAGGTACTATTGTTTTATCACAATGTGAGAAACATACATACATTTATGCAGATTCTTCATTATTTAATTTCTTTAAATATAATACAGGATGATAGTATTTGTGGCAATAATTTGAAAAGTGATACAGCCTTTTAAAGGTTTCAAGCAAAATTGCAAAATGAAAACAATAGTCCTTCAGGGACAAAGCCCCTTTAGACTAATAAATAAAGATTAGATATATAAAAATGTTATAAAAATATGAAAAAAATAAATACATTTCTTTTTAATAGGTTAAAATTGGAGAAAAATAAAAAAAATAATTTTTTAAATGAGTTGCTTTCTTATGTTGGTGAATAATACACTTATTTAGCACCAAAGATAAATAAAGGGTTGGTGCTTTCTGATTATCTGCAGCCCCTCTCCTGTAAAGTCACAACTGCTGATGATTAATTTTTCACCAAGTCAAAATGCAAAAGACAACAGTTATTTTAAAAAATAACAGCATACTAAGAATCGCATTATAAGGTATTTCTCCCACCTTCTTAGCGAGCCTTCGTGACGTAGTGGTCTGCACGCTCAGCGCGTAATTGAGATGTCCGCGTTTCGATCCCTGGCAAAGATGTTGCACATTTTTCATCATACCTTCTTTAAAAACAACCCAATGACTCTACAGCATAAAGCAGCACACTGGGCACACTGTCGTTCCTCCATATACACAGTAATCTGTTTTTGCTGAAAAAGTACAAATTTTGCCTATAAAATTTTATTCTTTAAGAAGTATAACTTCATGGAATGCAAATTTTTACATTTTCTATTGCAGGACAGATTGCTATATTTCTGAAGAAATGCATCCATAGTCCCATTGTGACTCCTCATGAGAGAGAGGAAAAAAAAAGCGTTCGAATGGGAGGAAGAAGCAAGAACTAATCAGAAAAATTATTATGGAAATAAAGGTGGGAATCAGTTCTTATTTGCTACATGCATGTCCATTCCTGAGCTGACACAGAAATATATTTTGGTAATGTCATGTGCTGCCTTGTACATACTTTTCAGGAAGGGGTGCAGATATCAGGAAAAACTAGATCTGTTAAGCACTGTTGACTGATAACAATGTGATCTCCTGTTTATGAACTCTATTTGTAAGGAACATAACATTATAATGTAAAGTTTGATCCCAAAACCTTGATCATTCAATTACAGAAAAATCCGTTTCCTCACCATCTTCATTAGTAAATACTTTGCTTATTTAATAAACTTTATGAGGAATAACAAATGAAATCATTTTGTTTAATACAAAATTAAATAGCAACAGATCTAAAACTTAGTATTTTAATAATGTTTTAGTTGACTAATCACAAATATTAAGCATAATTTGTAAATAAAGAATATCAAGGCACACATAACTTTCAGACCAAAAGCAGTTTTAAGTATTTCGAACTGTTGTCTGGTTTAAGACTCTTAGTCTATTTCAGTTTTACTTAGCACAGCAAATTTGAAAAGCATAAATGGACTGATTTGTTTCATACTTTTAATAGAACAGTCCATGCATACATTACCTACTTTAACATGTCCCTATATATCAGTACTGAAGATATTCTAAGATATATGAATGCATACGAATGATTTTTCTAGCACAGTATTAATAACAGAAACAATTTAATTGCTTATATTATAAATCTTGCATTTTTCTCCCAACACATGATTTAGTGCTCTTTATTTCATAAATATTAACAAAAAATATATACCATTTCCTTGCTATAAGCCAGCCACCACATATTGATCCCAAAAGTGATGATAACTGACCAAATATACCACTCCACAGACCTATCTCTTTCGTAGAAACACCCTGATCAACCAGAAATAAAGGAAATGACGACAATGCTCCTCTTTCACCTTAAAAATGTAAATAAAACTAATATAAGTAATACAAAGAAATCGAACAATATTAAGAAACAGAAAATACAAATGGAAATCTGAATTTAAATTTACAAATGTTAAATTAAATAAAAATATCATAGCAGGCATAGTTATACTGAACAAACTTCATTAATGGAAAGGTAAATTTTGAATATTATTAGTTATTACTTTCAACTGCAAACTCAAGTACTTAAAATATTAAGTAAAAAAATATTATAATACATTAATGAACTACAATAGAGTTAATTTTTAGTTTCTAATATGGTTGAACATATTTTATTTTGAAAAAATATTCAGGGAATAAATTATTTCATCAAATTATTTATTAATGCAGTACTAAATGAATATATTCTGTGATTAATAAAAGTCATTTCTTGATATTAATTTAAAAGTTTTAAAAAATTTATTTGTAATATAAACAATTATTTCTAGTTTTAATAAAACTTCATCTCTTAGTATAAAAATTACCTAAAGCTTATACAATAATATTATTTGCCAAATCATATTAGTTGGAAATCTGGATGTGTAATAACCAGACCATAAATCTAATAAATAAATATATAAACTAAAATAACAAGAAAAATTCCCTTCCCTGCTTACAAAGTCTAGGAATGGAGAATATAATGCTTAACAAAATAAGGCAGGTGTGCCATAAATGCCTTTTTCTCCTCACTAGCTGAGATTCCCTGCAGGCATGTCACTTTCAAAGACCTGCTGGCTAGGGAGTGTGGCAGTGACTAAAAACTGTCAGTGAAAATAAACTGACATATTGACGTTGGCCAGAATACTACTTTCGACCCTTGAGTGGCTGTAAGGGGGTTAGCATTTTTCTACCTGACCTAAACAATAAGTGAAGCCAAAATGTTGCCCTGCAAGTCATATTATTAGATTGAAACTGATGATTGATCTAAAATCCGGAAATTTCTCAAATACAGACCACCTACCAGTGGCTAAGCGGTAAAGACACTTGATGTTGGTAGTTCAATCCAGGGTTTGAATGTTAGCAAACAAGCTGGCTGCAAGCTGGCTCATGTGTAATGTGTATACAAGCCAATTTTCCTTAAACATGTCCTCCATGAACACATCACTGATATGTAATTCAAATATATTTGTATATTTATTTTACAAAACAAGAAGATATATAATGCCATTTATTATAATAGTATAAATAATAAACGAATAAATAGATTTTCTCTTTTCTACCTCTTATTTTTTTCAACAACACATTTTTTAATATGCTTTATCTGGAATCTGATACTTTTTCCAGTAGTACAGAGCAGATCTTGGTAGACTGTTCCAAAAAGATGGGATAATGTCACATATTGTCAGTGACTTCCTGACTATATTTCACAACACATTTCTTGATTGTACGATTTATGAAAGGGAAAATGTAAATAGCTAACATATTTTCCAGATTTATCAATATTCAACTGATGTTCCTCTGGGCTAGCTGAAGTCTTAAGTGCATATTAACAAACCTATAAAATTGGCAAACTTGGAGTATCATTAAAGAAAACATTGTATTGATTTAGCCCAAAGAGTGATGCAGAAGTTGTATGACAAATAGGAGGAATATTGCCCAAACGGTAGAAAATTTTTGTAAAATAAGAGGCAGAACAGAGAAATGACTCTGTTGTCATAAATAGCACTGTACAGTCTCACCTTCCTTGGAAGCACAAACTAAACTTAACACTCAATCTGAACATAAGTGACTTATCACCATGTCCAGTAAACAGACAGAAATGTACGAAGGATACAAAGGACCCTTTTAAACTCATAAAATTTAACAGAAGGCACCTCTTGTGCTTACAAAACCAGCAATTAGTAATTGAAACTAAATTAAGTTAGCCAAATGCTACACAGTATGAAAATGTGCAAATTGGCTCGGACCTAATAATGGTATGACACTCCTAAAGGTGAGAGTTTCAACTAGTAATATGGCCTTCAGCAGGTGGAACATGCTCTGATTCAGTAATCTAAAACTGCCTTTAAATGCTTCCCTTTCTACCCCATTTGAATATGCACAAACTAAAATTTGTATTCTGGCAGAAAATGGAAAAGAAGAAAGTAAAACTACTGAATATAATATAACTTGTTAGTTAAAAAGAAATAAATCCTTACACCATGTTAAATACTCCGGTCAGAGTAGATTGAAGGGTGCCCCTTGCATTATCGCGAAGTTGTTGTTTCATTTATCGCTAAGTTGTTGTTTCATTTTCGTCAAGTTGTTGCTTCATTTATGGTAACCTTAGTAGTTGAATGTTATGGAAACCGTATTAAAATGCAATTGATTGCATGTTATCTTAAATTTTGAATGACAGGAAAAAGATTTGTAAGAGCTTGAGGTGTGTGTTGGTTAAGAAGTACATTCCTTGTTTTGAGGTTTTAGACAGTAGAATGGCTGAATGTTTTAAGATTAATTTAAATTTCCGTACGATTCAGAAAGAAAGAGGGAAAAGTCCATTAATTGATTGGTGTGGAAATGAAGGTTTACTCAGTAGCCATTATAAGTGCCCTGTTTGTAGGAAGGAACTGGGTGTGGTTGAATGTCTGAGGATATTTTTGACTCTTATTTTTGTGAATTTATGCGGCGATGCCGATATACGGATTCTAGCTCAGGTAATTTTAGGAAGTTTTTGGATGCTGTTAAGGAATTTTGTGTGCCACAGTGTGAAGGACTCAGAAATTTCTAAATAAAGTAAGTATATATTTGCTTTCTGTAATGCTTAGATGCATAAGATGAATTTCCTTTTTTATGTTATTTTATAGTTTGATTTAAAATGTAGTTTATTATGTGTTTTTTGTTTGGCTCTACTGTAGAATTGGGTGCTCCTTTGACTTAAGTGAATCTAGATTGATGTGTACATGAACAAAATCAAAGAAGTGCACAATGACAAGTTTGTGCAATTCTCTGATTTTTTTCAAGCGAAAGTAGGTTGATGTGTACATGGATACCGAGTTTATGCAATTCTTGTTATTTTGTCTTCATGTATATTCGATTTTTGGTGCAAAAATTGCCGCTACACAAAGCCAAAATAACAAGTCAAAGAGCTGCACAAACTCAGTATCAATGTGCCGACCAAAATCACCAATTTTTGCCAAGGGGCACCCATTCATATATTTTTACCAATACTCCTGTTTTGTAAAATACATAAATATTGGAGTTGCCTTTTCTAATATTAATTTAAATCTAAAATCCATCAGATTCCTGTAACCTAATCTTATTATTGGGGGGGGGAATATAAGTAAAATTTACCATTTTCAGCTAGTTGTTTCAAGAATTAATAAAGGCATTAATGCATTAATTATCATATGCTTTACGGTAAAAATTAACCTGTGTGTAAGCGAGAGGTAAGATCATGCCAACAAAAAAATTCAGCAAAGAAAAATCTGTGCATTACACAAATTTAAAATCATCCAATAAATCCAGCTATATCAAAACAGCAAATAATTAATCATATAACTTAGCTAGATCTCATTAGTTGAACTAACTATAAAAGCCAATTCATCTTCAGCTTCCATTCAAAAAGTAGAGGACAGCACAGTGAAAGAAAAAGACAAAGTAGGTGACTACGGCTTCTTTTCAAATTGTCCTAAATTTTAAAATGCATATCATTTGACATTTTAGCGAAGATATCACAAAATTTACTTTGGCTCTCAGTTGTGGTAACCAATTTGAAACAGTCACAATATTTTGCCTTTCGATTGCTTTCTTGCAAATAGGTAAAATACGGTTCATTTTTTTTATACTGAAAGATGCACAGACAAGAAGGAATGGCATATTCTCTTAGTTTTAAACTAGAAACTAGAAGTTTTAACTTTGCTGAGCAAAAGCTATGAATGAAACTGAAAACAATATTCTCTACCCCAATGACAATGAGGTTCAGTGTGAAACGCAGGATAATGACTTGCCTTAAACAGATTTCACAGAATTGTTTGAAATGATATTTTCTAATTATTTGCAGCCCTGCTGAAAAACTACAAATTTGCTGATCACTTTAGACAGCACTGCGAACTCAGTGGCGACTTTGGAGATTAATGTTTGGGTATTTTAATAACTATTTCAATGATGCATTCAGTGCTATCTATATTTAAGATTTCTTTTTTTTTTCCTCATTAAAGATACACACAGCTCTCAGTTTTTGTTCTTCTCATGTACACAGTGATCTGATTTTGCTTAAAAGAGAGCATTGCACAAACTTGGCACCAAAATCTTAAAATAAAAAGGAGCATGATGCCTTTATGCAAGCCACATTACAGTCTATAAGAAAAGAAATCTACATTTAAGATTTTGGCAAAGATGATCAAAGCCACAGTATGTAGTCAACTGCTATCTAAAATGTAGTCGACTAATATAAAAAAAGGAAACACAGAAGATTTCTGTGTTTCCTTTTTTATAACTTATGCCTCATGTCCCTTAACACTGCAGCGAAAGGTTCTACATCAAAGTCGAATCCCTCATATCCAAAATGATATGAGGGAAATTTTTTATAACTTATGCCTCATGTCCCTTAACACTGCAGCGAAAGGTTCTACATCAAAGTCGAATCCCTCATATCCAAAATGAGATGCATGGCCTGGAGGGGTTTTCATAAATTTTAATTAAACTTAATATTTACATACATACAACGTAGGCTCAAATGCCTGGATTGAATATTAAGGCTCAAAAAGCAAGAATAGAATAGTTCCATCGAATTCTATTGCGTAGTGCATCTAAATTCTACCTTCAAGAAAAAGAATATTTTTCCAAGTCACATGTTCAGAAGAGGAAGGGTTAATTAAGCCAATAGATGGACTCCTAACGCCATCTCTTGGCGATATCAAAGAATATTCCTTAACACACTTCCCACCTGAACTCTGACAAGAGTTCATCTAACTCAGTTATACATACAATCAAGTACATAAATCACTATTCTATAAAAATACAAAAAAATAGTAATTTGTCAAACACTTCAATTACAAACAGGTTATACACA